TGCATTTACTGACTTAACTCCAGCCGCTATAAGGATGACAGAGAGACCATGTGTGAGATCCTTTGGAAATTATGGTAGAAATGCAGGACAACAAACAAAAAGAATCTTCATACAGTTCCGTACCCCCATCCTGGCCAACTTCATACTTTGTATGCGGTGCACTTAAGTTCATATCCTTGGAGAGAGTCTTGAGTGCTGCAAACCTTTCACTGGATGCAGTTGTCAATGGACTTCATAGGGAGTAAGGATCATTGAACTCAAGGGGACATGCTTCCTGAGCCTACATGCTGAGGACTGCCCTGCATCCCTCACCTTGTGTCTGCTTATAGCTGGTAAGCAGCTGTTTGTAATGCAGGATCCTGTTTTCGTGCAGGTTCTTGGGGCAGGTGACCTAGGCTTTAGTCCGAGAAGGGTTTTCAAAACTGTCTCACGGATATCGCTGGAGCCAGACTCTGATGGAAAGCGCCCCAAAATGCGTTTGTTTATCCAGCATGTGGATTTCAGAGTGAAGATCACTGAGAGGCAGGGGTCATTTTGTAGAAAAAGAGGTGCATGAGCTCATTAGCATAACTCATTAGCATAACTTATTTGCAAATGTCACACCCCCTGATGTCACCGAAAGTGTTACATACACAAATACTGCAGCAGTGCAAACAATGCCAGATACCATATACACAATAACCAAATGATCATTCAATGGTGTTTAATCTTGTTCTTTTTTCAATCTAGACGTTGCGAGATGACCGTACAAAACGTCACAAAGAAGGACGAACTTCCCCGGAGTAACCGTTTTGTTTCGATAATTCTTTTTCATACAAAATATCCTAACAGAAAACATAACCGTTACTCATAACAGGAAAACATACCAGCCACCCTCACAAGCAACTCAATTTTTAGAAGAATACATACAGTTCTGCATCAGCATATTCATTCATCTGCCCAAACGGATATTTCTAATTCTATGAATAAAACTTATTATTAATTAATTGATACCTTCATTTCATAGTTCTATATCCATACATAAGTGCTATATATCATATAAAAATTCCATATGCAAAAAGCCTTACCCTAAATGCTTCCCATTAGCTTATAACCGGCACATAGCCTATACATCAAATCGGGCTGATCAGCCTTAACCCTAACTCTCGTTACTAGATCTTATATCACTACCAATGTATCATGTGCTTCCTAAATGATGTTGCCAACTTATTATGTTCATTGCACTATGGTTGATTCAATATCCAATACATTTATATCACTATATCACTAATCATACTGGAAGACAAGAAGAAGACAAAACAATCCTTATCCACACAACTTCATATACATGAGTAACGGTTATGTTTTCTGTTATGATATTTTGTATGAAAAAGAATTATCGAAACGAAACGGTTACTCCGGGGAAGTTCGTCCTTCTTTGTGACGTTTTGTACGGTCATCTCGCAACGTCTAGATTGAAAAAAGAACAAGATTAAACACCACTGAATGATCATTTGGTTATTGTGTATATGGTATCTGGCATTGTTTGCACTGCTGCAGTATTTGTGTATGTAACATTATTGTCATACTGCTACCCCCCTTGTTTGTCACCGAAAGTGTGTCAGAAGGCAACACCCACCACTCATGGCTCCACTGGACTGTTTTGGATTGCTAGCTATTGGGGGGGGGAACGTGCAGATCTGTCCTCACAGAGGAGGGAGAGCTTGTACCTGAATAAAATTTGGTCTTAAAGGTGCCACTGGCCTTTTTGGCCCGGGGGGCCAGGGGGGCTCTGCAGCTTACGTGGCTGCTTCTTGCTCTAACTGAGGGCTGCTGGGAGCAGGGGGCGGGGCTTGTTGCATGTGCCCGCCCCCTTGGGCTCTTTACTGCCGGAGCTCTGCTCCTGTGTGCTCCTTCAGGAAATGACACCTGACTGAGAGGATTGGCATGTGTTGCATGCTAACTTTATTCTTTTGTAGTATGGTTAATTCTGAAGAAGGGGGTCAACTGTTTCTCTACCACCCGCTTGTGGGATGATTTCCTGGTAGGGCTGTGGTGTTCTAGTTTCTTGTTGGTGCTTACTGTCTAGAGAGATTACCTTTAAGCCTTTGTTCTCTGTAGCCAGCCTTTCAGTTAGTGAGTATTTGAACATGAACCTGATGGCACATGTTGCCATATACAGGCTGGAAAACTCCTAGAGATTTGGGGATAGACCCCGGGGAGGACAGGGACCTCATAGGGGTACAATGCCATAGAGCCCACCCCCCGAAGCATCCATTTTCTCCAGGGGAACAGATCTCTGTAAGTCTGGAGATGAGCTGTAATTCCAGGGGGTCCCCAGGTCCCCCCTGGAGACTGGCACCCCTACTGATGTGTGAGACGGCAACTCTTACCTTGGAGGAACTCATATGACTTCTTCACTGCCCTAAAGAGATGTGGATAAGGGTGAATGTGATGAGGCAGATGGGACCCAGGAAAGCGATGGAGTAAAGAATTAATGTAATTAGGCCTGTGAGTGTGCGGCAGCAGGCAAATCCCTTTTTAACCCCTGTGATGAAACATGTGCTGTGTTTAAACCCCTGGGATTATTAGTCATTGGAAACAATTCTGGCATCTGGTGTGGCACCGAGTAAAAGTAATTTAGCTAATTGGTAAACAGATGACATCATAGTCTTGGCAATGAAGTTGTCTTCTTGGATTTCTGTTCTGTAAATAGAATCCTGGCCCTGCAACAGAGTAATGTGGGTAAAGTCCTGATAAGCTGGTAGGTTATATTTTGCTGGTTCTGATAGCAGCTGCTCGTGAGGAATCACTTTTTAAATACTTCTCTGTGTCCAAACTTCCTTCTAGAAGAAAGCTGGCATGGTGGGGGGGGGGAGAAGGGGGAAGGTCCTAGCAGGGTAATTTTTCTGCCATTCTAGTTGTGACACCCCTTCTCCACTCACAGAGAGTGGCCGCTACCCTCTACACACACAGCCTTAGGTCAGGGACCCGTAAGCCAGGACGTCACACTCGCCACCCTTCTTGTCTCTTTGAAAAAGTGGGAGAGCCTTTATCATTACCCCTCTCAGCCCCCCCTCCCCCATTCAGAGATACATCCACAGACAGGGTATCCCAGCCCCCTTTAGTAACAGGCCCACATTCACACAGAGTTATTGGGGTTCGGGCTAAAATGCTGTTTCATTCACTCACTGCCACCATTTATTCATATCCTATAATATATATAGATCAAGATATTCTATTGTGTGTGTGTTTTCCTTAGACATGCAGCCCATAGGGTTAAAGAAAACAACTTTTATTTATGATATTGACATAACACTGAAGAAAGCAAAGTAGAATTTTGCCCGGTTCGTGATTCACGAAGTGATGTTCACGAACTGAAGAACCCACCACAAACTTCCACGAATTTTGATGCCGTTCATGGCGGTTCGTGCTTTCCGCTCCTCATGAAAAACGGCTGAGTGGTGGGAGCTCCCCGCAGCTCAGCTGTTTGGTTTAAATGGTTCAGAGCCTTTTAAACGTTTGCTTTCTGCTCCCTGTGAAAAGCTGCAGGGTGCAGTAAGTAGGAGGTTTAAATGGCTCCGAGCCAATTCACCCCCAGCTTTCTGCTGGCTGTGGCTTTTCACAGTCAGCAGAAAGCTGGGGGTGAAATGACTGGGCGGCATTTAAACCCCTACTTTTTGCTGGTTGGGAAAAGCTGCGGCTAACAGAAAATGGGGTGAAATGCCTTCAACCATTTCACCTTCCGCTTTTTGCTCGCCACACAAAACTGTAGCGATTAGAAAGCTGGGGATGAAATAGCTTGGGGCCGTTTAAACCCCTACTTTGTGCTCCCTTTGGCTTTTCGCAGGAATCAGAAAACAGAGGTTTAAATGTCTTCAAGCCATTTAGACCCCTGCTTTCGTCTTCCTGCCACTTTTCTTGGGGAGCAGAAAGCAAGGGTTTAAACTTGAAATGGCTCATGAACCCATACAAACCAGTTAGGTTCGCAAACCAACCTCCTGTTATGTTGTCGAAGTCTTTCACGGCCGGAGTTCATTAGTTGCTGTAGATTTTCTGGGTTGTGAGGCCATGGTCTTGGCATTGTAGAACCTGACATTTTGCCAGTAACTGTGACTGGAATCCTCAGAAGTATAACACAGAAAGATGGAGTGCTCTCTGTGTCAAGGTGAGAAGAAACTGGTAGGCAGGTAATTTATATCTACACCAGAAGGTGGGGTAGGGCTGCGTCATTATCTTGTAGGAGTTCCCCAGGCTATGAGCATGCTAATGGAGGAGCTTTCCTGAGGAGGTTCTTTTGTATATGGATTGTTTCCTGACAAAACAATACAAAAGAACCTCCTCAGAAAACAATACAGCCACAAACCACAAACTGAACTGCAAAAATGTGGTCCGTTCCTATTCCTAGTTACAACATTATAGTTACTTGGGAGCTGGCAGTCTCCCTTTTTGAAGATAGTTACAACATTCTGCGTCCATTGAACTTTTGAGCTGTGGTCCTTTGTTCCTTTGGTTACGAATTGACTATTTCCAGCCACCTCCAAGTCACTCTCCTCCACGGTTTCCCTCCTTCAGACATCCTCTTTCCCCTCTCAGCGCCCCAGCTACCAACTCCCAATTGCTGTTTTTAACTGCTGTTTTTGAACTGGCACTCTCCATCATTCCATCCGCTCTCATTGGCTGTGGCAGCCATTTTGTGCTGTGCCCACCGCACTGCCTCAAAATTCCAAATGTGCCCACTGTCTCAAAAGGGTTGGAGACCCTTGCTGTAGAGTGCATTGCCTGTGAGCTATAAAATGTCTTTGCCAAAGTTGGTCCCTGAAGTGTCTTGGTTGATTCTGCATCCTTGAGTGTCTGGACGCATGCAGTTGTCAGAATACATTATTTCAACAAGAAGTGTTAATGATGCTAGATTAGCATTTCATTTTGAAAACAGCGTTCAAAGGATTGCCTGTACACAATGGCCTTTCCCCCCAGGTTACCTGTTCTTACATTTGGGAATGTTCTTTCTTTATTTTCAGATCTCATTAAAAAACTAGCACAGCAAAATTTTGGAAGTACGCCGGCTGATTATCAAAAGGTAACTTTTCTTCTTGTGCTAACAGTGGTGTTTTAGTGATATTTCTTTGAAGACCAAATATCGTTTAAGCCAACATTGCTTAAACCTGCTTATAGTTTATTTTAGGAATACCAAGTTCCCAGACTGCATTTTTGCTGAAACCGCATGAATAAGGCATCACAAATGTTTCCTTTGGCAGAGCTTCCGTGTTATTATCAAATATTTTCAAAAAGATTTGGGTGATTGTTGCTGCTGCTTTTGCGTGAAGTTCTCTGTGTTGTTGTGGCTCTGGCCCTGGAACGGCCGGCTGGGTGATAAAGCGAAGCTGCAGCTTAGAGATCTAGCCAAGCTGTTCCCGTGTGAGCTGCTCCCGGAGCTCTGCTTGTGGGCTTCCCATTTATTTGGAAAGGAAGGAAATCCCCACTGTCTCAAGTCCAGCAATTATGCAGACTTTCCAGACTACCAGGACTACTTTGCTCATAGGGAAGATACTTCGATTAGTTTTAACCTCACGCTTAAGCTAGCATTGGAGGGTGCAAATAAAAGAATGAATATTGCCGAGTGCAACACAACTGAGAACTGGCGTAGCGTTTTGGAGAGAATGAATTAGAAAAATTCCCAATTCAAACCTTTGATTTGCCACAAACTCAGTATGTCTCCTTTCTCTCTCTCTCTCTGTTTCCCTCAGAGACAGAGGCTGCAAAAAGATAGCATGCATGAAGGCTTTTGAGCCGTCTGAAAGTGCAGGCAACAAAATCTTAATGACTGTGCTTGGATTGGGTGCCAGATGCTGCCGATGCAGTGCAGCTGACAAAGTGGGATCTCCCTGACTCCCCACTGCCGCTGCAACCCAGCCGCTGTGTCCCCTCATCTTTTTGTTCAGCAAGCAGCAGCTTTTCACGAGAGCTGAAGCACAGCAACGAAAAACAGAAATTTCAGCCGACAGAAGAGATCCTTTTAATCCCATCAGTAACATTTATCCCCCCCCCCTTTTTCAACTCAAGTCATGTTTCCCCTCATTTTTATTCAGGTGAGGTGAGAATTGATTGCCAGGGTGTTGGAGAGCCATTGAACTTAGATCATGGTAATGTTTTGTCAGCGCCGCAAGGAGTTTCATAAACTCCCCTAAATGGAATGCCTGTCTTCCATTATAACGTCCCCCTCATAAATAGTCAAACATAATTTTAGTTAGCGCCTTTGCATGCTTGAATATTTGAAGGACACTGAGGTGACATGAAACGGGGTCCCATGGCACCTTCCGACACTTGATGCCCACCAAGTGATTTTAGAAAGTGTGCAGGGCCAGGAGGGGCTTTTGCCCAGCAAGGCTTCTGATTGGCCACTGGAGATTTAATTGGCTTTGCAGATTTTTAAAAATGTTTTTGGTCAGCAGCTGCCACCACAGTTTGAGAGCCAGTTTGGTGTGGTAGGTAGGAGTGCAAACTCTAATCTGGGAGAACCCGGTTTGATTCCCCACTCCTCCACGTGCAGCTGCTGGCGTGACCTTGGGCCAGTCACAAGTTCTGTCAGAGCTGTTCTCTCAAGGACAGCTCTGGAAAGAGCTCTCTCAGCCCCACCTACCTCACAGGGTGTCTGTTGTGGGGAGGGGAAGGGAAAGGAGATTGTAAGCCGCTCTGAGACTCCTTCGGGTAGTGAAGGGCGAGATATAAATCCAATCTCTTCTTCTTCTTCATAAGGACCTTTACTGTGTGACTGAAGGGAGGCAGCTGCCGCTGCTTTTGTGGCTGGGCCCACCTCGTCCGGCAGCCATTTTGTGCTTGTGTACAACATGCTTTGTCAGAATTCCAAAGCTGCCCACAGGCTGAAAATGGTCGGGGACCTCCGCCACAGAACATGCTGAGCAGATGGTCTGTTCTCAAATAAAATACGACTGTTATCGCTGCACTAGAGCAAGGGCTGCACAACATTATGGCTATCACTGCGATAAATGCTTCTCTGAAGTTACAGCTCTGGTCAGTGGTTCCCAAATAGGCAAGGATAGTTGAATGGCACCCTAACGGACACCAGAGTTTCAAAACATACCAGAGGCTTCCAGATTGGCTATGTGTGGCTCATGCAGCAAATTGGACATTGTGTCAGCCCATCTAAATGACCAAAATCGGCCTTCCCTATTGTTAAGGTCCCCTAATTACTGAGAGGCTCTTTCCTTTGGTTGTGTGATTCAGCCTCATCCTTCTGTCATGTGAGTCACCCCCCTTTTTGTTGTGTAATGTAACTGTTGGCTGCAGCAAGTTGAACGGGCGCAGGTCATAACTCCATAATGTACCATCCTCAATGATCCCAGCCTACAACTGTGTTCTGTGACCAGAAGCTTGTTCTCATGGAACCAGTAGAGGCTCATTTCCCGGTACATCACTCTTAAATGCACAGCATTCAGCTATAATTGAAAGCACGTGACTAAAACTTTCAAAGAAAACGTGCAGCCTTTTAAAAATAGCAGCTGTCTCAGTCAAATACCACCAGGGCTTCCACCCCCTATATAACTGATGCTGCCATTTTCTACTTGTTATGCCAGAGTTAGAAAAAGAGTTGATTTTCTGCATTGTCCACCAGAGTCGTTTTTTTTAAATCCTTTCGCAAGGCAATTCCGCCCTAAGAACTCAGAATAGAAAAATTTAGTCAAAATGGAAAATGGAAAATGAAAAACTGTGAGCACTGTGGTAAACTGGCCCTCTCTTTCTCTAACAAGACTTAAAGAAGAAGGCAGAGAAAGGTGCATGTTTATGTTAAGCGCCATTAAGTCACATCCAGTGCGCCCTCTAAGCTGTGGAGTCTTGTGAGCAAGAATTTGACTCTGTGAACTGCTGGCATTAAAGTTGTGAGTGAGCTATTTGGCTGCCACATGAATTAGTTTGCTCTGGAGCCCTCCTTCCTGAGCTCAGACAAAAATGTGTGAGCCAGAGGCTAAAGAACTGTGAGCTAGCTCACACTGACTCAGCTTAGAGGGAACACTGGTCACATCTTTGCTGTTAAATCCCTGTCTATAAGTTTAGAACCTCATCTGCCATCCGAGTATGTATGAAAAACTGCCTTGCATGCGAAAGCTCATACCCTGAATAAATCTTTGTTGGTCTTAAAGGTGCCCCCTCTGGACTCTAAAGTTGTTCTGTCCCTTTGAATTCATGACCTCCAAAAGGTCCTGGGGTTCACAGCCTTGCTCAGGTCTCACAGACTGGGGGCTTTCGTGGCTTCCCTGGTGGAGTCCATCCATCTCATGTCGGGTCTTCCTTTTTCCCTGCTGACTTCAATTTTGCCTAGCAACACAGAGGTACTTGAACTGTAAGGATTCAACACCACTAAGTAAACAGCCCACAAATCCTCACTTGGTCAAGTTCGCCAAAATTGCAACTGCAGTGACCTGTGCTTTCCATCAATGCTTGATTTGCTGTTTTTATTTACTGCACGGCAAATGTTGTCTTGGGGTGTATTATTCATTGCTCACCTGCCTTGTTTTTATGCATGCCGCCTGCTCATCATACACATTTCCCATCTACCTTGACCTCCACAGCCAGAGAATATTGTCCTGGCTCTTCAGGTAAATCTTTCTCATTGTCCCCAACATTTCTCACTGTCATTTGGAAAGCTGTGTTAACCTACCAATAACCGCATGCTGCATTGTATTGTTTTTATTTCCCTCTTGTCTTGTCCCCGATAGCTCTGATAGTCCTTCTAACAGCTTCGGTTGGAGTATTATCAAAATTGTTCTGAATGTTGCTTCTCAACGCTCGCTTTGTGGTTTTCCTGTATTTCAGGCCCCCCCCCCCCCCAATTTAACCCTCCTTATAATTGTAGCTGGATCAGTGGTATAAATGACAGCATCAGTACTGGGAGCTGTTTTCACGGAGGAACTTGGGCAGTTTGGGGGCGGATTTGCTGGAAGTGGAACTGGAGCGTGATGAGATGTAGCCGGTGAGAAATGGGCTTGGAACTGGCCCTGCAGGAAGGTGGCTGGCAGCTGGTCTCACTCTTTCTTCTTCCCTCCCCCGCCCTGAACTGGTACTAGAATAGCCATAAATGGGCATTCGGAGGGAGCCAAGCCAGTTACAACAGCCCACTCGGATGGGCATGAAAGATAAAGGGCAGCGAGGTGCCCTGCTGACATTGAAAATTCAAGTCCCTTGGGAAAAAATTGAACTCCTGGGATGAAAAGAACCTTTTTTCCCCAGTCTCCCAAATACTAGAACTTGAGGGCATCCAATGTAGCTGATGGGCAGTAGAGTCAGGACATACAAAAGGAAATACTTTTTTTTACACAGAGAGGGATTAAAATGTGGGATTCGCTGCCAGAGGATGTCGTGACGGCCACAGGAATGAACAGCTTGAAAAAAGGATTAGATAGACATGTGGAGGAGAAGCCTATCAATGGCTACTAGTCATGGTGGCTGAGGGGAACCTCCACATTCAGAGCCAGGAGGCACACCTCGGGGGAAGGCCTCGGCCTCTGTGCCCTGTTGTTGGCCCTCCAGAGGAAGTGGTTGGCCACTGTGTGAGACAGGAGGCTGGACTAGGTGGACCACCGCTTTGATCCTGCAGGGCTCTGCTTGTGTCCTGATTGCTCTTTCTGAAAGATCTGTGTGTTTATGTGTGTGGCTGGCCTGACTTTGGTTTGTTTGAGGGCCTGCTCCATCTCCTCTAGTGCTGTTTCACAACAGTGGCCGGAGGGATGCTTCCGGGGAGCGCAGAAGCGAGGCATGACGGGCGGTATCCCCCCTCGTCTCTCTCCCCCCTTGACAACTGGTATTCAAAGCACGTTTCTTCTGTCTCTGAAGATTCCACCTAGCGGTCAAGTCTGTCTCTGACCTGTATTTAGCTGTATTTCTTCCATGAGCTGGTCTTATCCTTCTAAGCCACCAGCCCTCACCATTTTGTGAGGCAGTGAATTCCAGCCAAAATTTGTGTCAGGCAGGAATTCTTTGTTTTCTCTGTCCCGAATCCTCAATCTAGTTGGGTGACCCTGAGTTCTGGTGATTGTTTTGTTTAAAACACTTACATGCTGCCTTTCCAGCCAAATAGAGTTTCTGAGGTGGCAAACATCAAGGCATTTAAAAGATTAAAATAACATTTAAAAAGTGTGTGTGTGTATACACACACACACATTTTAAAACTCCATCAAAACCCCATCAAAAGACAGTGAGTGTGAGGGAGGTTCTTCTATGTCCTCGAATCAGCCTCCACTTGAGTTGCCAACCTCCAGGTGGGGTTCCAGAATTCCCACTTATCTCCAGACTACAGAGATCAGTTTCCCCTGGAGGAAATGGCGTATTTGGAGGGTAGACTCTATGGCATTCCCTCCTCACCAGGCACCATCCCCAGAACTTCAGGAATTCCCCAGCTGGAGTTGGCCACCCTGGCCTATGCACAAGGAGGCCTGGCACTCATTAGCAATCATTTTGTTGCCGAATTAACCAAGTGTGTTTTTCCTGTTCAAAATTAGGTTTTGGTTTTCAGTGCAATCAGACAATTTTTCAAAGTATAATTTTGGAAAACGCACTTGGGCATTTTCCCTGGGACATAAATTGTATTGGGGGGGGGGAAGTATTAGAGTGAAAACTGGAGGCACATTTTACACTTTGAAAGGTGCGTGTTTCCTTGACCAACTTGCATTAGGTTAGGTTGCCCTAGTTAAGAGTATGCCTCTTGTTTGCGAGCTGAGGTTAGGGTTGGCAGCTCTGGGTTGGGAGATAACCTGGAGATTTGGGGGGTGGAGCCTGGGGAGCAGGCCCGTAGCTACAGTGGGGCATCTCAGGGCCTGGCCCCCTAACTTACCGCCAAGCCCCCCCGACTTCCCATCCAGCCCAGGCTCTCCTTTGGGTGGGTGGGTGTGCGCAGGAGTGTATGTGGGGTGCCCTGACTTATTTAAAGCCCCCCCCCCGAATTAAAAAAATCTTGGGGCTACAGGCCTTCTGGGGCGGGTGCAGTTTGGGGAGGGGAGGGACCTCAGGAGGGTTATAATGCCATAGAGTCCACCCTCCAAAGCAGCCACTTTCTCCAGGAGAACTGACCTTTGTGGTCGGGAGGTCAATTGTAATAGTGGGAGATCTCCAGGTGCGACCCTAGTTGAGGTCAAAGGCTGGGCCATGTTTTCTGAGCAACAGCTGTACATCTGGGATCCCTCAACATCTGTCAGCTGGGAGGTGGTGGCAGTTCCAGTGTGTTCTTATTTTCTGAATATGAAGGGGCCTCTCTGCTCTGACAGACGTGGTACATCCAACACAGAGATTTAAAACTTCAGTCCCTCTCCTGGCCAAAGGCAGCTGCTCCAGCACGTGGTTTGGGAGTAACTCATTTGGTGGTTGAGAAGCGACACCGAAGCAGAAGCTGGGATTGTTCCATTTATTCTCAGGAGAAATTTAGAAGCGTCTGTTCTAGAGATAGAATCAGCAGTGATGTGAGCCTCTGACTCAGTTTAGGAAGTCCATCGTACTCAAATACCTTTTTGCTTCCAAAGCTAAGATGAGTGTCATGTGACATTTTGTGTTAAAGCACTGTGTAGGTAGAAGAACAATCCCCTCTCATTTCCCCTCCCCAACCAAGGTCGCCATCCTCCAGGCAGGACCTGGAGTTCTCCTGGAATTACAACTGAGCTCCAGGTGACAGGGATCTCCTCCTCTGGGCTTCCACGGGCACCACTTCCCTGCTGAGTCCCTCCCTCCCCCAAACTCCACCCTCCCCACCACTGGGACTCTCCAGGAATTTCCCAGCCTGGATCTGGCAACCTTCTCTCCAGTCCTCGTACATATTAGGCGCTCGCATGGCCGTGGTTTCTAGCTGGAAAATACTGTCAAGGCCGATTGTAGACCTCCCCGGCATCCCGCCTAGTGCCCCTCGGGTTAGGACAAATAAAGGACAGTGGCAATGAAGCTCGATGCCGCCATTTCAGCTCTAACATCTCCTCTTGCTGTTCTTTCCGTCTGACCTGCAGGCAGTGTACTATGAAATTGGGTTTCTAGTCTCTGCCACGTTGGGGCTCCTCTTCGTTTTGCTGCTGCCCCTGGTAGGGCTTTGCTTCTGCATGTGTCGTTGCTGCGACAACTGCGGTGGGGAAATGCACCAAAGACAGAAGAAAAACGCGGATTGTCAGCGGAACTGCTTTGCCACCATCCTTTTCGTTGCTTCTTTTGTCATCAGGCAAGTACTGGGGAGTTGCACGCAGCATATTTTTATTGCCATATGGACGTGGTATGGTTTAGTATTTATTGAAGGACATGGTATGGCCAGTTTGGTGTAGTAGTTAAGTGCGCGGACTCTAATCTGGGAGAACCGGGTTTGATTCTCCATTCCTCCACTTGCACCTGGCTGGATGACCTTGGGCAAACCATAGCTCTGTCAGAGCTGTCAAGAGCTCTCTCAGCCCCACCTACCTCACAGGGTGTCTGTTGTGGGGAGGGGAAAGGAACGGAGTTTGTAAGCTGCTCTGAGATTCCGAGTGAAGGGCGGGGTATAAATCCAATCTCTTCTTCTTCATCTTCTCTATTTGAACCTAAACTGTGATTCAGGTGGGTCGCCGCGTAGGTCTGAAGCAGCAGAGCAACGTTTGAGTCCAGCAGCACCTTTAAGACCAACAAAGTTTTATTCTGGGTCTAACCTTTTGTGTGCATGCATGGAAGCTTATACCCAGGATTAGACCTTGTTGCTCTTAAAGGTGCCACTGGGTTCAAATTTTGCTCTGTGCTTTGTTCGTTACTCATGTGGGCTTGGATCCTCAGCCTTCCTTCCACTTGCATGGCACTGTTTTCCATGGCGGAGGAGGTCTTCTGCTGTAGAGCGCATTCCTTCGGCTCTAAGAGTTTCTATTCATGCAAGACCAGCATCCTTCAGGGAGCCAAAAAGTACCGATTGCTAGAGACCAGTGCTGTCCAGCAGAGGCCTGCCTCTGCTGTAGAAACAGAGGGAGCATAAATGGAAGCGAGGTTCAGGATTCGAACTCTGGATTCCCATTTATAGTAGGGGGAAGGGGGGGTTGTATAACAGAGCTGCTTTATTTGATAGCTTACGGTTTGCTGCATAATTAGACCGAAGACGTTAAGAGCCACCTGCCCGCTTAGCAGCTGGCTGTCCAACTGTACTGCTGTAGACAATGTGGCAGAATAGAATTGATCGAATGCTTTCTCACCCTCCATTTACAATATTAGCCTTTCAAAGCAAAGGTTTCAGCTTAGTTAATTTTGTCTATGCAGGAAGTTTTGCTTGAGGAAGCAAGGCTCCCCCTCCCCAAAAAAAGCACAAATCAGTCCTGTCCAGCAGCAGGTGGATCATTTATTTATCATTTTACTTACATTATTTATAGTCCGTCTTTCTCACTGAAACTCAAGGCAGATTACATAATGTAAGTCAAATATAATCGGTGGGATGGGCCATCCAGTGAACAGTGCAATCGGGTTTGAACTGCAGAAATCTGAACACAAGAAGAAATATAGAACAGAGCCGAAACCACTGGAAACAAAGTGGAGCTCATGTAGAAGAAGAAGTGAAGAAGGGGTTGGATTTATACCCCACCCTTCACTACCTACAGGAGGTCTGTAGTTCAGCAGTTCGAGAGCCTAGTGCTGCGTGACAGGGTGAGCCCCAGCTCCTGCCAACCTAGCAGTTCAAAAGCAAGAAATTGCAAGTAGATAAATAGGTACCACTTCGGTGGGAAGGTAACAGCGTTCCGTGCGCCTCCGCATTTAGTCCTGCCTGCCACATGACCATGGAAACATTTTCGGACAGCGCTGGCTCTTAGGCTTGGAAACGGAGATGAGCACTGCCCCCTAGAGTTGTATCCGACTAGCTTTTGAGCGAGGGAAACCTTTACCTTTACTTCACTACCCGAAGGAGTCTCAGAGCAGCTTACAGTCTCCTTTCCCTCCCCACAACAGACACCCTATGAGATAGGTGGGGCTGAGAGAGCTCTCTTGAAAACTGTCCTTGAGAGAACAGCTCTGAGAGAACTGTGACTGACCCAAGGTCACCCAGTTGGCTGCATGTGGAGGAGTGGGGAAAAGCAAAATTTATTTCAAAGCTTTGGAAAGATACTCAAACAAGTCCTTTGTTAGGAATGGGTACAAACAGCCAGGGCAAGTATAATAAAGGGATTTGAACCAGGTACCGAACCAATGGATCACTTTCCCGCTGGCGGGTAAAGGGAAACGGTTGCGCGCTCAATCCCTGGGAACACTACTATCTCCAGACATAATACAGGTGCAGTTCCCAGGCTCTAAAGGCAACAAGCTAGCATTCAAGCTCTCCTCCTACACCACGTCCTCCAGATGTTCGGCTTAGCATTACAGCAAAATAAAATACAGGCTAGCAGGGAGAGGGGGGGGGGATGAACTGTACAAGCGTACAAGAAACACAGAACACAATGGCAGCTTGCTGACATACTGCCCCCTCCAAAACACATCTTACCCACCGTCTCCCGGGCAGGGCGGGAGATCTCCCGGTTTGGGCGGGAGGCCTCCCGGTTTGTCCGGGAACTCCTTATGGAACTTACCATTCGCGGTGCTGGGGTCCGAAGTCCACCCACTCAATGAGGTACCAGAGTTTACCACGTTTCAGTTTGGAGTCGAGGATGTCCGCAACCTCAAAATGCTCATCCCCCTCAAGTAGCACAGGCGGAGGGGGAGTCACAGAGGGCCTCCATTGAGAGGTACCAGGATCCTTTTTCAACAAACTCATGTGAAAAACAGAATGCAAAGCCCTCAGATTTTTCGGCAGTTCAACATCAACAGCAACGTCATTGATGATTCTACGCACTTTGAAAGGCCCAATAAACTTCCAAC